CCGCAGCAGCAGAGGCAACAGAGGGCAAAAGGGGGGAGGGGGAACACCCCTCAAAGACGGGGGTGCGAGGGTCACCACGAGAGGCTCCTACAGCGACTATGCTCTTCTCTGCTGCTAGGAGGGCCTTCTCGAGGAGGTCAACGGTGAGAGTGGTGGGGCAAACTGAGAGGAAGTGGTCCCTGACTACGCGAAGGGAGTCAGGGAGCCGGGTGACTATGTAGTAGAGGGTGATGTACATGGGGGGGGGGTTCTTGGCGCAGAACTCAGCAGGAAGCGCAGCGCGGTAGCGAGTGTCACTAGTGCGGGGGTGCGTAATGAGGTCAGCGACTGTGGGAAAGGCAGCAAGGTCAGGGAAGAGGTACGGTAGCATGAGGCGGCTCAGTGCAGCAGTGGCAGGGGAGGAGTAGCGCGCAACTACAGCGTCGTACAAGGTCTGAGCACTCTTGTACTGGCTAAAGTGCGCACGCTCAGAGGTAGGCAGGTGGCGACGCACAGCAAGACGTGCAGCAGTATCGCGTGTGGCCCACTGTGAGCAAACAGTGGCGTCGGCATCAGCAGCAGGGGCAGGAGAGGCACCAGAGGTGAGGTCAAAGAGGGAGAGACCGTCTGCCCTATCGCACTGTAGGAAAAGCTGCAGGTCATCTACCCAGACGTCAAAGTCAATGGCCCGACCCTCAGCGTCAAAAGCGAGGACACTAGGGGTAGCCATGACAGCAGTAGACTAGCAGTGCGAACAGTAGGGTAAGGGCAGTGCAGTGACAGAGGCGCTGCTCTTACCGGACAGGGCGGCTCGGGCGGCTCGGCGGCTCGGCGGCTCGGCAACTCGGCGGCTCGGGCGGCTCGGGCGGCTCGGCGGTACGGCGGCTCGGCAGCAACTGCGGCTCGGCGACTCAGCGGCTCGGGCGGCTCGGGCGGCTCGGCGGTACGGCGGCTCGGCAGCAACTGCAGCTCGGCGGCTCGGCGACCCGGCGGCTCGGGCGGCTCAGGTGGCGCGGCGGCTCGGGCGGCTCGGGTGGATCGGGCGGCTCGGCAGCAGCTCGGCGGCGCCGGCGGCTCGGTGGTGACGGCGGGGCCGCGTGGGGACGGCGGCGGGGCCGGGTGGAGCGGCGGCGGGGCCGGGTGGAGCGGCGTCGGGGCCGGGTGGAGCGGCGTCGGGGCCAGTAGAGGCGGCGCCGGGGCCGGGAAGGGCAGCTCCGGGGCCGCAGGGGTAGGCGACGGGGCCAGCAGAGGCGGCGCCGAGGCAGGGAAGGGCGGCGCCGGGGCCGCAGGGGTAGGCGACGGGCGGCTAGGAGGGGGGGGTCGCGAGGGCGGCTTGAAGAGGCCGCGAGGGCGGCTAGAAAGGGCCGCGAGGGCGGCGTGAAAGGGCCGCGAGGGCGGCGCGACGCGACGGAGCCGCGAGGGCGGCGCATCGGGGCCGCGAGGGCGGCGCGACGCGGCCGCTAGGGCGGCGCGACGTGAAGGGGCCGCGAGGGCGACGCGACGGGGCCGCAAGCGCGACGCGACGGGGCCGCTAAGGCGGCGCGACAGGGTCGAGAGAGGGGAGCGCGACTCGGGCAGTGTAGAGCGCGCTCCGGGCAGGGAAAAAAAAAGGTGGTGGGCCCTAGGAACAGTTCCCACAGGGGAACCTGCTCGATACCATGAGAAACTGAACGAGAATGAATTGACTAAGGGAAAGTTGGGTACAAATACAAACCCTAGAAAACTGTACCCCATATGTGCTACCCCACTATAGCCTACAGTAGCTATGTCATATAAATCTGACAACACCTTGTAGAGCGCAGCAGAAGGAGAGGGGATGTGAGGAGGAGGAGGAGGAGGGACTATGAGAGGAGAGGAGGTAGGAGGCGGCAGGTGAAGCTGCTGGCACACGGGCGACTGGAGCAACTGGCACACAGGCTACCGGAGCAAGGGCATCCGGACTACTGGAGTAACTGGCTCCGCGGCTAGACGAGCGGCTGGAGCAACTGACCCACGTGCGACTGGAGCAACGGGCTCACGAGCTACCGGAGCAAGGGCATCCGGAATACTGGAGCTGCTGGCTTCATGGCGGCTACCTCCTTTCAACCTCCCCCCATCGTCCCAGACCCCCTTTCCACACCCCCTTCTGCATCCCTAGCGCCACTCCCTCGTCTCCCCCACACCCTCCCCCCCCCACAGCGGCATGTGCGGCAGTGGGAGAGAGAGGAGGAGGGGCCGCAACAGATCACTCACACCCGCCACCCCCATACCCTCCCCCCACTGCTGCACGTGCAGCAGGGAGATGAAGGAGAAGGGGGGGGGGCGGGGGGGGGGAGGGGGGGGGCGGGGTAGGAGCTGCGCGGGCGACGGCAGGGCGCACTGGCGGGCAGAACCCGTCGCGCGTCCAGGGCGCGCAACGGGCAGAAATCGTCGCGCGCCGATGCGCGCCCGGGGCGTGCGACGGGCAGGAAACCGTCGCGTGTTTGGGGCGCGTGACGGGCACGAAATCGCCGCACACCCGAAGCGCGCGACGAGTAGAAAATTGGCGCGCGCACGCGTGCCCGGGGCGCGCGACGGGCAGCAGAATAGCGCATTTAGCGGAAGCTAGCAGTAGGCCCAGGATCGATGTGCTCTGATAGCATGTTAAAACAGGAGCATAACCTATGACTAGGAGCCTAGGGTTTAAGCTACGCAAGGGGGTGTTGAGAGAATAGTCCAAGCAAAAGAGAGGTTCACTAAAGGGTCAAAGGCCCAAGTTATACAAGAAACAAGCAAGGCAAAGGGTGCACCACCAAGCAGGAAACCATATAACTACACTACAGCTTGAGCTACATGCAGTTATACAGAAATATATATATTCTGACATTTTTCTCAACCGAGTTCAAGGAACTCTTCGCCAAGAAGGGGATTGAACAGTTGGTCTACTTGCCCTACGCTCACGAGCAGCAAGGAGTAGCAGAACGGACAAACACGAGCCTCGCCACAAGGATGAGGGCCCTCATGAAGCAGTCGGTCATCTCAACAAGGTTTTGGCCGTTTGCGATGAACCACGCTGTTAGGCTGCACAATTTGCTGTCCTCCCGAAGCCTCGAGAACAACACGTCACTTTACAAGGCTTGGACGGGCAAAAAAGCATACAAGCGTCTGCTTCGGGTGTTCGGCTGTATGGTACAGTACAGGCCACACAAAGCAAGGATCGGAAAATTTGCTGATCGGGCACGCTAGGGCATTCACATCGGGATCGAAAAGGAGTACAAGGCGAGGATTGTGCTGGACTACGCGACACACGAAGTGACGAAATCATGTGACTGCGTCTTCTACGAGAAGCTGACTCTGCCATTGTTCAACGAACACCGCGAAGCTGACAAGGCACCGGAAAAAATTTTCGAGGGGCACCGCAGCTTCGTCACGTCACACGACGAGGCAGACCTGGCGGAAGATGCAGAAGCAATGGACGTCACACAAATTGACTCTGCCCCCAACATCCCCCTTACAAGCCTATTCAAGACTCCCGCATACATACATGTTTCTCAGTTCGATCCTGACAATACAACTCGTGAAGACCACAATTACAACAGCACAGCGCGCCGATCTCCGGATGCCGAGTTACCACCCAGAAACCCTTCGCAGGACACCGTCCGCGCCGGTCATGTCAGCGACGATGACATTGTCGAAGTAACCAGCTACCACGACTACGATCGCCTCGCTTACGAGAAGACCAACGAAATTGGTCTCCGCATCCTCGGTCTCGTCATTGCAGTTCGCCACACCTCACCCAAGGAGCCCGCCACCGTACGCCAAGCTCTCTCTGGGCCCGACAGCGAGAAATGGATTGCAGCCATGGCGGCAGAAGTAGCAGCACTGAAGCGCCGCGGGACTTGGAAGCTCGTTCCCCGATCATCTGCGAAGGGGAGAATGATTCTCAGCGGCAAATGGGTGTTCAAAATTAAAACTCTCGCGGATGGCTCCATCGACAAATACAAGACAAGATGGGTGGTGCGCGGCTTTGAGCAAACTCACCTGGTGAGATAGTGATTTTTACCGTGTATACTTTCGAGATAACGGCGGAATGTACCATAAAAAATCGAATATTGTTACATGGCGGTAATATTTTTATCAGAGAACGTGAAGTAGGAGACGAACCGACACTTGCTGTTACCGAATTCTTATCAATAGTTCGCCTCCAATCTTTGGGCTCTATTTGGCCTGCTCGATTTGGCGAACACTCGACAGTCCTGCATTCGATTCGCGCCCGCCTCGTCAATTCCCCCCAATTCGCCCCATTTTCGCCCCGACCAATCCGCCTTCTCGCTTCTATCAACCTCTGTCGCTTGTCACTTCCCGTGAGCAAGCTAATAACCCTAACTCGCGAATACACATCGCAGGCCACGAGTAACTGGTATTTGCTTTCCATATCGGCGTACTATATTCGACTTCCGTATTTGGCGTACTATGTGCGCTGAGCTGTCATGCTGTGCCGATGACTCCAACTCCCGGTGCGCGAGAGCAGCAGCAACCTCTCCGCTGCAGCGCGCAGATGCCGCGGGATCTCGGTGGCGTCTTCGCGGCGTCCCTGCAGCCTATACGAAATGTATTAGAGAGGATAGAGTGTATTTGTCAAAGCAACAAAATTAGTCAGTTGCTGGCCTGCTCCAGTCAATCAACAACCGTCGACTGTACTGAAGCCGTCACCGGTTGCGCCGAGGGCCTCTCTGCGCGAATACTCACCACTGCTTCAAAGTTCTCGCCAACACCTCATCCTACAGTTCTCGCGTCTCCCCTCGAACATTGAACCGCCGATACGGCAGACAATAGGATGCCTTGCGTTCCGGGCGCTCACGTCGGGCCGCGCGGGGCTGTCGCCGGGGGGTTAAAGCTTCAAAGTAGTAATAGCTGTGTCATCCACACCAGTTGGAGTCCGAAGGGTCCTTCTCGCAGTAGAGACTGCTGACTTCTCTGACTCCACTCGGAGTTGCATTTCTCTACACATCCTTTGGAGGCACTCAACGTTCAAGCTCACCTCCTGTCTCTCGGGAAGAAATATGGCCATCCGCGCGCAAAAAGGGGCTACCCCGTGGGCGGTTCTCGCGAGCAGCGGTGTCGTCGCGCTGCTGGTCACGTGTCTGCTGAGCAGCAGCGTGGCGAAGTTCGCGATCGCGCAACCCGCGCCGGCAGTCTCAGACCGGGCGGTGCAAACGGTCGGGCCGACCGTTGCGCCCGCGGCTAGATCAGGGAAGGATTTCCCGCCGATTGATCCTGACTGGGAGGCGCAGATGCAGTCCATCATCCAGCAGGTGTCCAACCAGACGGTCCTCTCCTCATTTGCCCAGTTTTACTCTAACCACTGTGAGCTCCCAACCGTTTTGAACCTTCCTGTACCCATGTCTCACCAAATCGCTCTCACTCTGACCCAATATCCTCTTGCGCGTGTATCTTGTTCTGATCCTCCCTCTCTTGCACAATCCATTCTCACCTCCCTCCCCATTTACCTCTCCCCTCGTTTATCCTCTCCCTCTCCCCCCTCCCCACTCCCCCTCCCCTCCCTCCCCTTCTTTCCCCCTCCCTCCCAGTTTTTCTCTTTCAGCACGAACAGTTGAATGATAAAAACAAGTCAATCAACTCGCCCCATCCCACCGGCACTACCTCACTCAGTGTCTAGCTGCTCTTATGCCTTCAATCCCTATCATTTTTATCACCTCTCCCCCTCTCCCAACCTTCTCTCTGCCAGTTAAATCTGAACAGCTGTACATCGATCAGAATGCAACCATCCTCATCCCCACCAACGTCGGCTATTGGCGCTTCGAAACCCAATGGGACACCCTCACCCGCAGGCAGAGGCGCCGGTTACTACGTTACCACATTCTCAAGGGGCGTTACACTGCGAGGCAGCTCCTGAATGCTGCTCCGCTCACACTCTTTCCAACTCTGAACCTGAACCTGCCGCTAAACAAGACTCTTAAGCCAAATGAAGTGTATTTCCAGTCAGTTCCGGCGACGAGGTTCGTGTCGCCACTGAGCGTGCCGAATGCAGGGCTGACAGATAATTTCGCTGCGCATGGAGTGACGATGGTCCTCCTGCCGCCCAACCTTAACTGCACCTGGTCTTCCTGCAAAGGCTAAAGCTTTCAGCAGTAGAACCCTCTGGCTTTTTAGTCCTAGAGAGACCATAAGCCAGGGATTGGCAGGATGGATGGAGTGATGCTAGATGGATGTTATAAAGTCAAAAAAGAGGTTCTACATTTTAGAATGTCAATTTTGGAAGAATGCATCTGGGTGTCAAATGTTGTAGCCTTTAGTGATGCGTGTCATATGGGGTACAGCAGTTGAGGTTAAGTTAATGTACCCCAACCCACAATAGTCAATCATCATTCGGTTTCTCACATGAAACCAGGGGGGGCTGGACTGCTAGAAGAGGGAGGGACTGCGGGGAGGCTGGACTGCTAGAGGAGCGAGGGACTGCAGGGGGTGGACTGGCACTGTACAGTAGAGGAACGAGAGACTGCGGGGGGGGGGGGGGGGGGGGGGGGGGGGGGGGGGGGGGGGAGGGGGGGAGGAGTGGAGGAGAAGGGGCGGGGGGTACTGTCAGAATATATTTCTGTATAACTGCATGTAGTTCTAGCTGTAGTGTAGTTCTATTGCTGTCGTGTTAGGTGGAGCAACCTTTGGCTTGATATAACTTGTATCTCTTCTCATAGTGAACACCATTCTCATTTCTCCTTTGGTCAACACCCTCGACCTTCGCCTCGCTGTACTCACGTCCTAGCTAAACCCTAGGCTACTAAGCCTACTGAGTTAAGCACCTATTTCAACATGGTATCAGAGCAGGCTCGTTCCTAGAGCCTTCATTCTTGGGCCCACCATAAGCTTCCCCTAATGCGCCTCCTTGCTGCCCGTCGCGCGCCCCGGGCGCGCGTCGGTTTCTTCCCGTCACGCGCCCGTGGCGTGCGTCGGTTTCCTGCCCGTCTCGCGCCCGTGGCGCGCGTCGGTTTCTGCCCGTCGCATGCCCGTCGCGCGCGTCGGTTTCTGCCCGTCGCGTGCCCGTCAGGCGCGTCGGTTTGCTGCCCCGCGCGCCCTACCTGCCCGAGCGTGCCCCCGCCCACCCGCGCCCTGCCCATCGCGTCGTCGCCTGCCCGAGCGTGCGCCCTACCCGCCCGAGCCCGCCCCACTCGATCGCGCACCTCGCCCCCCTTCCCTTCTCTTCTCTCTCCCTACTGTGTGTGCATCAGTTTGGGGGGGGAGGAGGGGGTGTAAGAGGGAGGTGGCACCAACGGCACCACCCTGCCTCCTCTGTTTCACGGCCGCACCTGCTGCTGTGGGGGGGAGGGCGGAGTGGTGGGAGTGGCGGGAGGAGCTACTGTCGCTCCCGCTCGCCTTCCCCTCTCTCTCTCCCTGCTGCGCGTGCAACAGTGGGGGGGTGGGTTTGGGGTGGCGAGCACCCAGCTGTCGCCCCTCCTCCTCTCTCTCTCACTGCTGCACGTGCCGCTGTGGGGGGGAGGGTAAGGGGGTGGCGGGCTTCTGGCCGCCGTGTGAAGGCTTGAGCAGGGACCACCGTGGGTGGGGAAGGCGTTGGAGGAAGGGTGGGGGGGGGAGGTGTGAGGTTCCAGGGGGCGGTTGACAAGGGGGGTGAGGTTGAGGGGGGTGGCTGAAAGGGGGCGTGGAATTAGCGGGTTAGTAAGAGGGGCTCGCCGCGCTAGGCTCCGCCCACCTCCTCTCCTGCCTCTCTCACCCTCCCCCCTTTGTAAAACGGGGGTTCGTAAGAGGGGTTCGCCGCGTGGCTCCCCCCACCTCCTCTCCTCATCCCTCTCTCCCCCCCCCCCCCCCCCCCACCCCCCCCCCTTTGTAAAACAAGGGTTCGTAAGAGGGGCTCACAGCGTGGCTCCCCCCACCTCCTCTCCTCATTCCTCTCCTCTCCCCTCTCTCTCTCTCTCTAAAACCTTTGGCTTGCTATAACTTGTAACTCTTCTCATAGTGAACACCATTCTCGTTTCTCCTTTGGTCAACACCCTCGACCTTCGCCTCGCTACTCTCGTCCTAGCTCAACCCTAGGCTACTAAGCCTACTAAGTTAAGCACCTATTTTAACAGGTACCTCGATACTTTGTCGGTATCAGATGAAAGCATATTCGATGTCTGAAATATCAGACGAAATATAACACGCGTTCTTATTTTTCAGACGAAATAAAATCCTTTAATTTACCGTATTCTCCCGGACATAACACCCTAGGGTATAGCTAAAAATACAGGGAAAAAATGGGGGGGGCCCTCCTCATAGGAAAAAAATACATAATACCCGGGTCTTTACATATGGCATATTTTAGTGTTTGCTTTTTTTTAATTAGACAACGTGGGTGTTTTGATGGTCGTTTTTGAGAAGAAACGAGGAATGAAATGACTAAGTGAAAGTTGGGTACAAAAGGCAAACCCTAGAAAACTGTACCCCATATGTGCTACCCCACTATAGCCTACAGTAGCTATGTCATATAAATCTGACACACCCCCATAGGCAAAGTGGGGGAGAACAAGGGGTCACAAGACCAGTCAAGCAAAGCAAAACAAGCTCAGGGTGGATCACAAAGTCACCACACATTCCGAGCACAAGTTCAAGGCCACAAGGCCAGTTCACATGCAGGATTGCATATATATATATAAGGCTAGACAAGCAAGAGCAGGTGTATATATATATGCAACAGTACAAACAAGGTCAAGGGGTGAGCAAGTGAGGCAAGGTAGGCACAAGACCAAGCTGAGTACAGAAGCGCTGATGATCACAAGACGCAAGTGCCTTGGTGAAGATATCAGCAGTGTTGGCCTCAGAGGCCACGTACGCAAGCCGCAGCTGACCACGCTGCTGTAGCTCACGAGCAAGGAAGTAGCGGAGAGCAATGTGCTTCGTTCTGTGCTCCAGTCTCTGCTCTCGACACAAGGCCAGCATGGCCTTGTTGTCTACGTACAGCACTGGAGGAGAACGAGGCGGCTCTCCGAGGTCAGTCAGCAGGTAGGTGAGCCAGCGAAGCTCCTGTGCAGCCATGGCCCCGGCGTAGATCTCAGCCTCACAACTGGAGCCGAGAACAGAAGACGAGCGGGTAGCCCGCCACGAAACAGAGCCGGAACCAAGGCTGAAGGTGTAACCCTGTGACGACCGCTGCGTAGCCTGGTCGTCAGCCCAAGAAGCGTCTGCGTGCCCAGTGAGGACCACTGGACTCTGCCCTCCAAGCACAAGCCCCATGCCCGACGTACTGCACAAGTAGCGCAACACCCTCTTCGCTGCAGCCATGTGCTCCGGTCTGTGTCTCCCAGGAGCAACATAGCGTGCAAGAATGCTAAGAGGGTATGCAAGGTCAGGTCGTGTGCAGGTCATCAGGTACATGAGGCAGCCAACAAGCTCTGGGTACGGGCCACTCGACTCTACGGACTCATCCGAAGGCAGAGCTGAGAGCGAGTGGCGAGTAGGCAGAGGAGTGGCCTGAGGCGAGGAGTACGTGAAGCCGAAGCGCTGAAGGACCTGCTGCACCATGTGTGACTGAGTCAGGGTAATGGTGCGGCGTGCTCTGTCCCGGGTGATCTGCAAGCCAAGGTAGCTGCGCAGTTCACCCAGGTCTGTGCACGTGTGTCTCTTCTGCAGCTCGGACTTCACGTGGGCGAATCCAGCAGTGTCAGCTAAGGCGAAGACCAAGTCGTCGACGTACACGAGGATGTAGAACGGCGGCAAAGAAGTGTCGGTGCGCAGAAACAGCGTCGGGTCGGCAGTAGAGGGAGCAAACCCAAGAGCCGCAAGTGTAGTCCTCAGTGTGTCGTGCCACTCACGCGGTGCCTGGCGGAGACCGTAGACTGGCCGTCGGAGGCTCCACTGGGTGCCAGGAGGAAAAGACCCAGTGAAGCCAGGTGGGCGACGCAGCCAGATCTCCTCGTGCAGGCTGCCCTGCAAGAAAGCAGTGCTGAAGTCAAGAGAGTGCAGCTCGTAGTCACGGTGAGCAGCTATGTGCAGCAGTACCCGAAGAGTGGTCATCTTCGGGGTGGGAGAGAAGGTCTGAAAGTAGTCAACTCCCTGCCGCTGACTGAAGCCACGAGCCACGTAACGCGCCTTGAAGACAGGCGGAGAACCCGGCGGCCGCTTCACCCTGAAAATCCACATGCCACTGACGATGTTCGCCCCAGGCGGGGGAACCTCGTCAACGTAGGTGCCTGTGGACTTCCAGGAAGCCATCTCTGCGTCCATAGCTGCCTGCCACTGAGAGGAGTAGGGACCCTCTATCGCCTCCGCGTAAGAGCGCGGAGTCGGGATGTCAAGTGCATCCGGGTCTCCCTCAGGGGTAAGCAGTACGGACACGAGATGAGGTGAAGCAGCAGCCAAACACTGGAACTCCTCCTGCCTGTCCTCAAGGACGTCCGTGCCAAGGGCACACTCACCCCCGACGGACGGAGGACAGACAGACTCAGACTCAGCAACAAGACTAGCAGCGTAGTCTAGACGACAGCGAGCAGCAAAGTCGACGAGCTCAGTAACTAGGGCAGACGCAGCAGTGGACTCAAAGGAAGGGTCAGTGACAACAGTAGCAAGGAGACGCGTGACAGTAGGACTGGCAGCACGAAGAGAGTCCGACTCCGGGTCAGGAAGAGCAGGAAGAGAGGACTCAGGAGGAGAAGGCAAAGGGGCACGCAGAGGAGCAGTGGACGGACGCAGAGACATCCGGTGCGTGCCAGGGACAGGAGGAGGACGCTGACGCGAACCACGACCACTGGTGCGAGCAGCACGGACAGGCGACGCAGGGCGAGACGCAGGCTCACGACGCTCAGCAAGACCTCCAGTAGGACCAGTGTAGGGAGAAGGAGCGGGCAGTGGGGAGGCCGGCTGTAACTGTAACTGTGACGGGACAGGCTGTGGACAGTCTAAGGGAGGAGGAGGACCAGTAGAAGGCGGGAGACCAAGAACCTGCTGAAGGAGCGGAACGAAGTACGGCCGAGGCCGCGCGGCGACTCCAGACACAGCAGGGACAGCACCAGTACCCCCAGCGGCAGCACCAGCGCCAGCAGCACCTCCAGCTCCAGTACCTCCAGCAGCACCAGTAGCACCCCCAGCAGGACCGCCTCCAGAACCGACAGCAGTAGCCTTAGCGCCAACAC